AATTTATTTATTAAAATTAATATCACAAATAATATAATTATTAAAATAAAAGATAGTAAATAAAGATAAAAAAATATATATATACATATATATTGTATATTGAGACTAAACAAGTAAAAGAAGCCTAAAACTGGTTTTATATAAAATTAAAAAAAAAAAAAACCTTTTATAAATTAAAAACTATTTAAAAATTAATATTATTGGTATTCAACAAAGTAGTAAAGCAAAATAAATTAAATAATAAAAAATTAATTTATTTATTAAAATTAATATCACAAATAATATAATTATTAAAATAAAAGATAATAAATAAAGATTAAAAAATAAATATTGTATATTGAGACTAAACAAGTAAAAGAAGCTTCAAATTGGTTTTTTATAAAATACAAAAAAAAAAAAAAACTAACAAAAAATAATTGTAGCTAAAACAAAGCAACTAATTAAACTAAAAAATATATATATAAGAAAAAAAATATTAATTATTTTATTTTTAGCCAGAATTGATTAAATCAAAACGAAAAACAGTGAATAAAAAATATTATCAAAAATAGATTAATTAAAAAATAAGAAGTTAAATATATTGTTCATATAGAAAAAAATAATTAAATTTATTGAAATTAAAATAAAATTTAAAAATTAAAAAAACAGAAAAAAAGTGAAAATGGTAAACAAAAAATAAAAATAAAATTGATAATTTTGCATATAAAATTATATATTATATTATATAAATATATATTAATATTTATAATATTATATTATATTATATTATATTATATGTTATACATATATCACATTTAAATTTAGCATTCCTCACAGACAGTCTAGCTACAGTCTATATTGGCTATACAAATCAATTGTTTTACAACTAATATATCAGCCATATAAAACCTATAAATTATGAATAATGTTTTGATGACGAAGCAGAAACAACAGAAATTGCGAACTTGGCCTTGAGCTTGTTTTGTTTTTTGTCATTTGTCGTCAAAGTCGCTTGTTATTTCGTTTGTTATTGTTGTTGTTAACATTAAGGTGTTTTTGTTTTTGTTTTGTTTTTTTGGGGCTCAGCTGTGAGAGTTGAGCCATGGGCTGGTTAGACATTATAGCTCGAGCTTTGTTATTGTTATTGTTATTGTTTTAACCATTCATTGTTGTCGTCACGCACCTGAGCCACAATCCAAACACATTGTGCACATCAAAGCAGTTCATTAGCCCAATGGACATTTCACACACAGTCAATAACACACATATACAAACACACACACAGACACAAGTACACATCGCACACAGAGTGGCTCACATCTGTATATGTATTCATGTGGTTTTGTCAAGTCAGCGCAGTGAAATTGCACATTTTGATGCCCGCTAATCGTTGCCTGAATCCATCTGCTCCACAGGCGAATCGAATGTGTATACCTTGGGCAACATTGGAGCACATCGGATAGTTAGCACCAAGCTGCCGTCGGCGGGCAGTACACGGGAGGCGATGACGGCGACGGGCAATACGACAACCAGACTGCTGGGCACATTCCAAAAGGTTGACTATGTCTTCATTGTGGGCGTGGCTGGCGGAGTGCCACACTATACGGACTACAAGAAGCACGTGCGATTGGGCGACGTTGTCATTTCATATGTGGACAAGCAGCGTGCGCTGCTCAACAGGTGAGTGCCGCCCACACACACACAGTTCAATCGATAATAAACCCCTTCTCACAATGACATTTGCAGCAAGGAGAAACCATATGTGTATGTCTATAAGACCGGCGACGATGTCAAGACATATTTCCCAGTCAACGATTCGCTGCAACAGATCGCCGAGAGTCTGCAGGCCAACATGGAGCTGAAGCGTCCGTGGGAAAAGTATTTGCTCGATGCCCAGCAATCGCTCGCCCAGAAGACGGAAAGCGACTTTGGCCGACCGGACGGCAAGACGGATAAACTGTTCATGAATATTGGCAATAACGAGGTCATCGAGGTGGCCCATCCAATTGCCGCCGATGAGATCAATGGCGTGACACGGCCGCGCCTGCATCTGGGTCCGATCGGCTCTGGTCGGGATCTGGTGCGAAATGATGATTTGCGCACAAAGTTTGCACGTAAATTTGGCCTGCTGGCCACGGATGTCGAGATGAGCAGCGTGCTGGACAGCATCATTGGCAATTGTCGGGAGAGCTTTATACTGATTAAGGGCATATCCGACTACAAGGACGGCATGTCCACGCGCAAATGGCAGAACTATGCCGCACTCTCAGCCGCCGCAGTGGTTAAGTCCGTCATCTGTGGTATGGATGCGCCCACAAATGTCTAGGCGTGCCTTTCCATCGATAACTCGGCGGATTCTTCAGCTAATGATTTTACCATTTCATATACATATACATAAGCATATATGTATGTATAGATACATATATTTACCGTTTTTTTTTTATTACATACCTTGTAATTTTGCTTAGATCCTGCAAAGTATTTATCGAAATGTTCTTATTTTGTTCCCTGTGCGTTATTAACCAAAAGCGGATCCTGGATTTATGTCTGGCGGCTCCTAAAAGTAGACCAAAATGTATGCGTTTATCTAATACCCTATAAACATGCATATGTACAAGTAATATGTATTGAATGATTTCTTGTTATTTATTTGTTATGCTTTTGTACTACATACATATACATATATACACATATTCATATATATCATTTACAATCATACTATAAATGTATGACACAGGCACATGACGTATATACATATATTTAAATTAATAAATGCTGCATTGAACTGCAGCAGTAACATTAATCATTTTGTTTCGCTCTGCTCTTGGCTATCTTTATTTGTTTTTCACAGATAACTTGATTCACCTCGATGTTTCAATTTTAAATTTGCCGCGCAAATGAATTGGTGTGCAAGGGTTGAGGCGTTGCCAGTTTATCGACTTGGCGCTGCCATACAGCTTTTAGAGTATCGCAACGCATTATGGTCCATGCTAATTCAAATTTGCCGCGCAAAGCCCAAGGCCTATCTTTCGAGCACCATCAACTTATCGATACAGCGTTGCCACCTTTGCACAACAATCTTATTTATTTAATTTAAATGCAAAAAGAAAATTGGAAAACAAAAAAGTTAATTATTTGATTAGTTCTTTGCATTCTTGCACATGTTCAAATATATATACACGCGACGAGAAAATAGTTTAAATGGGCTACAGCCAGTGTTGAGCTATGAACCAAAGTGTGGGTGCCCGAATTGTGCCTTTTTTTTTTTGTTGTTGCTCACAGTTGACAATTTAAATTTCGAATAGGCGCCTATTTATAAATGAAATTATTATTAATTCTTGCCAACAAGAGCGGAAATTAACTTAATATATGTAAGTATGCGTGCTGAAATGCCTTAAATAGCCAGGTATCGATAGAAATGCCAACAGCTGATGTTAACGAAAACTATATGGTGCACTAGGATAATGCTGCGGCTGTTGCTGCTGCTTCAGCGAAGAAGATGGCCTTAAAATACAATTAATCAACTCCTATGATAATAGTGAGAGTAGGTGGGTATATTGCTCGTTCTTTTGGATGTGCGTAGAATGTGCGACCATTAAATTGCTGACAATTATGCGTAGCTATACTCTTCCGACGACTTGCCGATTGTACTAAAGTAATCAACGCTTGTCGCTGAGTAGCGTTCGTAAATCAGCCAGAATACGTTCAGCACGCCGTCAAGCCGGTTGTCGTGTTCGGAGATTTGTGAAGTGCGTAAAAAAGCAACACGTGCGCAGTCTGTGCTTGCGACAGACGGAACGAATTGCCAGCTGAACGTGCAATCTTAGTAAACCGAAACTTGAGTTAAGTTTAGAGTGAAACAAATAACAACAGGTAAACAAAAGCTCTAGACGATAATTGCATTATTAAGTGGGCAGCAAATTTGTCAATTATACTATGTTACACTGCTGCGTGCGTGCGTGTGTGTGTATGTGCTTGCGTGTACTCTAATGCATTTGTGTGTGTGCGTAGCGGATTGTGTGAGAACCGGTCTGCAGATCGAATAAGAATCGATGCATTGTTTTCCAATTGGAAATGGTTTGAATCAAAAGTTGCTTAAATTGAAGATGCGTGCAATGTGAATTGAAATATACTAATTGAGATCGTATAGTGAGTGCTGAAGAAGTATATACTGCAGAGTTTCTATTATTTTAAAGTCGATATCTAATAATAATAACCAATTGTTGTTAACTTATCTCTATTGGAACATACACTATTTCATATCTTTTCCACTATATACATATGTATGTATGTATGTGTGTGTTTTGTATTCCTGCATGGCAAATGCATTTATGATAAGCGCGCCATGTGGTTAAATACAAATGAGAGCGAGAAACCATTCCAACGGTAAAGTGTAGGGCATAGGGTATAGGGCATAACAGTTTACAGTCACAATATGCCAAACGTGATAATATCAAACAATCAATCATAAATGTTCTCGAAATTCATAATCATAGTGGTACTATAGGCAAGATCTAACTTTTAAAAAATATATTTAACGGTCATATTCGAAAAGAAGAGTCAAAGCACACGACCTTTAGTAGTTCCGTGACTTGATATGGATTCAAATCAAATATACAACGGTTCACAGCATATTTCAGCCAGCAATTAAAACCAAATATCGGGTATTCATAAAATCCAAATTAAATGGAATATCAAAAAGATTCAAGTGCAAGTTTGTAACTTATTATAAATGAACTGTTTTAAAAATAATATATTTTTACTTTTTTTTTTACAATATAATAGTAAATGACTTAATAACTTACAAGGAATTATAACGAAAGGCAATGCCTTTGTTTATTGAAACTTCTAGTTGATGCCTTGGTTTCAGTTTCAATTGCATCTTAGATAAACATTTTATGTTTGATTATTTTGAATCAAGGCTAGCCGCGTCAGCTCAATCTTTGCTTGGGCACTAACAGATATTATATTTCGCTGCATGATAAGTAGAGTTTCCCACTAACTCCAGATTCCGAAATGTGAATCGCATTGATAATTGGATAGAAAGATAGAGAGAGAGAGAGGGGGAGAGAGAGAGAGAGAAAGAAAGAGAGAGGGAGATACTGAGAGTGAGAGTGAAAGATAGAGAGAGGAGGTTGCGTGGACAGAGACAGACAAAAAGAGTGAGCGAGAGGAAGATAGCGAGACAGATAAAAAGAGAGGTTGGTTGAGAGGGAAAGAAAGCGAGACACAAAATGAGAGATAGAAAGAGAAGAACATAGAGAGAGTTAAATAGAGAGGACACAGAGAGAAAGCGAGAGATAAGCGTAATACAAATAATAATAATAAATTCTGTTATCCCATTTCTCTCAGCTGCGAAATGTCGCCACCGGATTGTTATCTCGAGCTGGAGGATGGAACCGTAATGCCGGGCTGCTCGTTTGGCGCCAAGGGCACAGCCACAAGCGGCGAGGTGGTCTTCCAAACGGGCATGGTGGGCTACACGGAGGCCCTGACGGATCGCTCGTACAGTGCACAGATTCTGGTGTTGACCTATCCGCTGATTGGCAACTACGGTGTGCCGGATGCCGGGCTGCTCGACGAGTATGGACTGCCGGAGCACTTTGAGTGGTTCCAGGGCGCTGTGCAGGTGGCTGGCCTGGTGGTGGGCGAGATCTGTGAGACGCCCTCGCATTGGCGCTCCAAGCGCACGCTCTCCCAGTGGCTGGCGGATCATCGGGTGCCCGGCATCAGCGGCATCGATACCCGTTGCCTGACCAAGAAGCTGCGCGAGCAGGGCAGCATGCTGGGACGCATTGTCTACCAGGAGCCGGCCAAGCAGGCGAAACTCCCGTTCGAGGACCCCAACGAGCGCAACCTGGCCAAGGAGTGCTCCGTTAAGCAGATGCAACTGTACAAATCGCCGCAGGGCGCAACTGGGCCACGGATCGCCATCGTGGACTGTGGCCTGAAGCTGAACCAGATACGCTGCCTGCTGCAGCGCGGCGCCTCTGTGCAGCTGCTGCCGTGGAGCGCGCAGCTGAAGGAGGAGGAGTACGATGCCCTCTTCCTGTCCAATGGACCCGGCGATCCGGCCAGCTGCAGGCAGATTGTCGAGCAGGTGCAGCGCGTGCTGCAGGCTGGCACAAAGCCCATCTTCGGCATCTGTCTGGGCCATCAGCTGCTGGCCTCGGCCATCGGCTGCACCACCTACAAGATGAAGTACGGCAACCGTGGCCACAATCTGCCCTGTCTGCATCGGGCCAGCGGTCGCTGTCTGCTCACGTCCCAGAATCACGGCTATGCCGTCGACCTGGCCAAGCTGCCCGGCGACTGGGAGGAGCTCTTTGTCAATGCCAACGACGGCACCAACGAGGGCATTGTGCATCGCAGCAAGCCCTACTTCTCGGTACAGTTCCATCCGGAGCACCATGGCGGTCCGCAGGACACCGAGTTCCTGTTCGACGTCTTCCTCGATGCCATACGAGAGCCGCAGAAGAGCGTGCCCGAGCTGATCGCGTCCAGGCTGAGCGTGATACAACCCGAGCCGCAGCCCCGTCCGCGCAAGGTGCTCATCCTGGGCTCCGGCGGGCTGTCCATTGGCCAGGCCGGTGAATTCGACTACTCCGGCTCGCAGGCCATCAAGGCGATGCGCGAATCGAACATCCAGACGGTGCTGATCAACCCGAACATTGCCACAGTGCAGACCTCCAAGGGCATGGCGGACAAGTGCTACTTTCTGCCCCTGACGCCCGACTATGTGGAGCAGGTGATCAAATCGGAGCGGCCCAACGGTGTCCTGCTCACCTTCGGCGGCCAGACGGCCCTCAATTGCGGCGTCGAGCTGGAGCGCGCTGGCGTCTTTGCCAAATACAATGTTCGCATCCTGGGCACGCCCATACAGTCGATCATTGAGACGGAGGATCGCAAGCTGTTCGCCCAGCGGGTCAATGAGATTGGGGAACGTGTGGCGCCCTCCGAGGCTGTCTATACCGTGGCCGAGGCCCTCGAGGCAGCCGGCCGCCTGGGCTATCCGGTGATGGCACGCGCTGCCTTCTCATTGGGCGGCCTGGGCTCCGGCTTCGCCAACAACGAGCACGAGCTGAGGACGCTGGCCCAGCAGGCTCTGGCCCATTCCACGCAGCTGATCGTGGACAAGTCGCTCAAGGGCTGGAAGGAGGTGGAGTACGAGGTGGTCCGCGATGCCTACGACAATTGCATCACCGTCTGCAACATGGAGAACTTTGACCCGCTGGGCATACACACCGGCGAGAGCATTGTGGTCGCTCCCTCCCAGACCCTGTCCGACCGCGAGTACCAGATGCTGCGCAGCACCGCCCTGAAGGTCATTCGGCACTTTGGGGTCGTCGGCGAGTGCAACATTCAGTACGCTCTCTGCCCCCACTCGGAGCAGTACTACATCATCGAGGTGAATGCCCGACTGTCGCGGAGCTCGGCGCTCGCCAGCAAGGCGACGGGCTACCCCCTGGCCTATGTCGCCGCCAAGCTGTCGCTAGGCGAGCCGCTGCCCGAGATTCGCAACTCGGTGACGGGCAATACGACGGCCTGCTTTGAGCCGAGCCTCGACTATTGTGTGGTGAAGATACCGCGCTGGGATCTGGCCAAGTTCATGCGCGTGAGCAAGCACATCGGCAGCTCGATGAAGAGCGTCGGCGAGGTGATGGCCATTGGGCGCTGCTTCGAGGAGGCCATACAGAAGGCGCTGCGCATGGTCGATGGCGATGTTCAGGGCTTCGATCCGTATCTGGCGGCCGTCGACAAGGAGCAGCTGTCGGAGCCAACGGATCGTCGGCCCTTTGTCCTGGCCGCCGCTCTGCGCGCCGGCATGTCCATCGAGGAGCTGCACGAGCTGACGAAAATCGATCGTTGGTTCCTCCACAAGCTGCAGCACATCATCAAGTTCTACGGCCAGCTGGAGTCCGCCGGCAGCCAACTGACACCGGCCCTGCTGCTGAGTGCGAAGCGCCTGGGCTTTGCCGACAAGCAAATAGCCATGGCCACCAAGAGCACCGAGCTGGCCGTGCGCCAGCAGCGGCACGAGCACAACATCCGGCCCTTTGTCAAGCAGATCGATACGGTGGCCGGCGAGTGGCCGGCGAGCACGAACTATCTCTACAACACGTACAACGCCTCGGAGCACGACGTGCTCTTTCCCGGCGGGCACACGATCGTCGTCGGGTCGGGCGTCTATCGCATCGGCTCCTCGGTGGAGTTCGATTGGTGTGCCGTGGGCTGTCTGCGGGAGCTGCGCAACCTGAAGAAGTCGACGATCATGATCAACTATAATCCGGAAACGGTGTCCACCGACTATGACATGTGCGATCGTCTGTACTTTGAGGAGATCAGCTTTGAGGTCGTCATGGATATCTATGAGATGGAGCGCTCGGATGGCATCATTCTCTCCATGGGCGGTCAGCTGCCCAACAACATTGCCATGGACCTGCATCGTCAGCAGGCCAAGGTCCTGGGCACGTCGCCGGAGTCGATCGACTGTGCCGAGAATCGCTTCAAGTTCTCGCGCATGCTCGATCGCAAGGGCATCCTGCAGCCGCTGTGGAAGGAGCTGACCAATCTCCAGTCGGCCGTCGAGTTCTGCCAGGAGGTGGGCTACCCCTGTCTGGTGCGTCCGTCGTATGTGCTCTCCGGCGCCGCTATGAATGTGGCCTACTCGGATCAGGATCTGGACACGTATCTGAATGCAGCCTCCGAGGTCAGTCGCGAGCATCCGGTGGTCATCTCCAAGTTCATCACCGAGGCCAAGGAAATCGATGTGGACGCCGTTGCGGCCGATGGTCAGATCCTGTGCATGGCCGTCTCGGAGCATGTGGAGAACGCCGGTGTCCATTCAGGCGATGCGACGCTGGTCACACCGCCGCAGGACTTGAACGCAGAGACCCTGGAGGCCATCAAGCGCATCACACGCGACCTGGCCAGCGTGCTGGACGTGACGGGACCCTTCAACATGCAGCTGATAGCCAAGAACAATGAGCTCAAGGTTATCGAGTGCAATGTCCGCGTCTCACGTTCCTTCCCCTTCGTCTCCAAGACGCTCGATCATGACTTTGTGGCAACGGCCACACGCGCCATTGTCGGCATGGACGTGGAGCCCATCGATGTGCTCCACGGCGTGGGCAAAGTGGGCGTGAAAGTGCCCCAGTTCAGCTTCTCGCGTCTCGCTGGCGCCGACGTCCAGCTGGGCGTGGAAATGGCCTCAACGGGCGAGGTGGCCTGCTTTGGGGACAACCGCTACGAGGCCTATCTGAAGGCCATGATGTCAACGGGCTTCCAGATACCCAAGAACGCGATTCTACTCTCCATTGGCAGCTTCAAGGTGCGTCGGTTGAATATATGCATTATATACATATATGACTTATCTATTCTCAATATTCCCATTCTCACAGCACAAAATGGAGCTGCTTTCCTCCATTCGGGAACTGGCGAAAATGGGCTACAAGCTGTACGCCTCGATGGGCACAGGCGACTTCTATGCGGAGCATGGCGTTGATGTGAGTATGTCTGAAATGAAGGAACATATAACTTAACGGTTTTATATGCAACTGTATTAGTAGCTTGAATTGGCATAGGCTTTCAATGGACTTGATATACATATGTATATCCTATATCCTATGTTGATCACTTACAAAACTTAGGAATTTTTATCATAGACCAGAAACTCGACGTTGCTCCAGAAAATGCATATGAATGATTGAGTGATGCTCGTACTAATATTAATTGCCATTGCCATTTTGTTACGAATTCTTACTGTCACATCTAAGAAGTTGCTAGGGGTCTGCTTAAATGGAGGAAAAAAGCTCATTTAAATCACTAAAATACTCAAACTGCATTGACTGAAATTGAATGTGCAGCTGAATAAGTTGGAGTGAATAAGAAAGGCTAGGCTTGCATCCAGCGAGAGCGTGTGAGCGAGCGAGCACGTTAAAGCTCATACGTTACGCAGAGAGCAGTTACGTTATTCTTAATGTAAACTAACAGCTCTTTTCGATGTTCTCATACACAGATCAACGCGCGCAATTTGAATTTAACAGATCCATGTAATGTTAACTAACATCACTCTTAACTCAACAGACCATTTTGCTTATGAAATTGCGGCATCTCTTTTCTTTTCTCTTTAGACTATGTCTCTCTGAGTACTTTGATAGATAAATCAGTGTTCAGTTAACATATCACTGTTAACTTAACAGACAACGTTTCTTATATTCTTTTTGCCTGCTATAAGTGAAGAAAGAAAGAAAACCCTTATACGTAAGAAAACAGTACGTGATTTTCCTTTTATGTAAAGACCTTAAGATATACATAGATAATTTAATACATGTGTAGACGGTTAAACAGGAGATATGCCGCGGACCGTTATCGAGGCAGCAGCTAATCGGCCATGCCTGAAGGCCATCGCATCGATTCTGTTGTTGACTGATTGTCTGAGCGAATTTATGGCTATTTGCTAATTGAAGGCGCTCTTCACCCTTTGTGTGTTGCGTTTGAGCAGATCGCGGAACTCGTCGCGCTTCGATTCTGGCGCCAGTGTTTGCATTAGCTGCGCCGTCTTGGCGCTTAGGGCTTGCAGTGCGTCGGGATCTAGCTGAAGTCGCTGGAACAGCGAACCAAGCAGCACATTGTTCTCCTTGGCTGACTCTGGATGTGACTGTGGCTGTGGCTGTGACGGTGCTGCCTCTGCCTCCACAATGATGGCGTCCTCCTGCTCAGCGGGGGGCGGGGGCTGGGGCGCACGTCGTGCGGCTGGCGGCGTGGGCGGCTGCAGTGGCGTCACCTCGCCCGTGTGCAACTGCACCACATGCTCCACAAACTTGAGCGACTTGCGGCGCATCGGGCTGGAGCTGCCACTGACTCGAGGAGTGCTCTGATTGCTATGCATCATGGCCCGCTCCATGTTGCTGGCCGCCTGGCACAGTGCGTCCGTATAGTGATGGGCGTATTGGGAGCAGCCCAGCTGCTGGTAGAGCCGGCACAGGCGCTGCGCCTGCTCCAGGTAGAGCTGGGCATGCTGTGCATTCCGGAACTCCGTTGCCTTGGCCAGCATGGCCAGCATATGGTCGAGCAGCAGCTCCAGCAGATTGGTGCAGCGCAAGATTTCGATGCCGTCATTCAGCTGCGGCGCTGCTGTCCCTGGGCCGGCTGTCGATGCGCTGCTGGATGTGTGCGATGCCTGCGAGACTCGCGGCAGGAGCAGCGGCAGATCCAGCGTGATGGACTCAACGGAGCTGCGTCGCTGCTCCGCGGCCATCTTCAGCTGCTGGGCGCGCAGCATTTGGGTCTTGCGGCGCAGCTTGCCGCGCGTTCGCTCCTGATGCTGATGCAGTCCCAGCAAGCCCTGGGCATCATGGAGCTCCTGCTCCTGCTGCTGCTGCTGCTGCTGCTGCTGCTGCTGCTGCTGCTGCTGCTGCTGCTGCTCCTCCTCCATTGGCTGCTCAACGATGGGTAGGGGATTCCTCGAAAACTTCGCCCAGCTGCGCAGCTGCACATAGTCGTGCGTCACTAGATTCTCGAGCAGGCGCTCATAGTTGAGCTTGGGATAGAAATTGTCGGCATGCTGGAGATTGCGCAACGCCTGGAGCACATGCATCAGCGGCTGCTCGGCAATGCCCGCCATGATGGTGCGCAGCTCCATCAGCGCATCCTCGGGCACGTGCTCGAACAGGTTGCGTCGCTGGATGAAATAGTCGCTCAGCTGCTTCTTGGCCAGGCAGTCGGCGAAGGTGCGCACGAAGCGCACCAGCTTCTCGCCGAGAAACTCCTCGGGCCACTCGTTGCTGTGGCGCTCGCACTGCCAAAAGAGATGCGTGCGCAGCTGCTCCATGATGTGGCCCATCGCCTGGCACTTCTCGTTGACGAAGGTGCGCACCAGCACCTTCATGAGCAGCAGCACCTTCAGCTGCATGCGCGTCAGCTGCCGCTCCAGGAACTGCTCCGCCTGGGGGAAGACAATGCGCCATTCCAGCTCGCGGAAGGGATTGCGCGCCCGCTTCGGCGTATAGCCCACGGGCACCACATGGAACCCAAAGGACTGGATGCGCTTCCGCATCACCGGCGTTGGCCACTGGAAACGGTCGCCCGTATGCAGATTGGTCAGCTGGGGGCGGGCGCGCAGGTTGAACTCGAAGGCGCAGTCCGGCCAGCTGTGCGGCACATGAATCGCTGGGACCAGCTCCTCGGTGGCGGTGTAGATGCTGCAGCCCCGGTAGCTGCTCGCCGACAGCTGCGCCTGGCTGATGCCCAGCTCCTGCGCCAGTTGCTGGCGCAACAGCTCGCCAAAATAGTTCATGAACTGCTGGGAGCTCAGATAGCATTGCTGGAGGAGATCGCGACGTCGCTGCTGTTCCATTCTGCACTGGCGGAGCACTTGCACCGTCTCGTAGCCGGAGCGGCAGCTCTGCTCCGGAGTCTCCACCCCTTCGCTGGCACTTCCATTGCTCTCCTCTTCGTCTGCGTCGTCGTCGTCGTCGTCCTCATCGTCGCTCTGCTCCAGCCACGCAGGCAGACAGCTGGCGAGCCGGCGTATGCAGGACTCTGGCAGCACGTTCCGCTGCAGTGGCTCACACATCAGCTTCAGCTCATCCATGGAACGCTGCGTATTCAGGCGCGCTATATACACATGGTCATAGTCGCCCTCGCACCAGCTGCCGCGACCCGCGCTTGAGCCCGCCCTGGAGCCCATTCTCGATCCCGTCCTCGAGCCCAACCCGGTGCCCGTTCCGGCGGCCGTGCTGTAGCCGGAGCTGCCATCTGTGTAAACCGCCTCGATGTCAATGTCGCCCTCATCGCTGCTAGGACTGCTCGGGCTGCTGCTCAAGCGGCGCTGCATTGGCATCGGCTCCCGCAGCTTCAGCCGCACATAGCCCAGCCAGCGGCTCTGCTCCAGCTGCTGCACGTACTGCGACCGGCAGGGCGTTGTGTTGTAGTAGTCCGTCTCCAGCAGCACTTTGCACAGCGCAGCTATCGAGTCGTAGTTGGCATCATTTGGTCGCGCAACGTCCACATTCTCGAACACCACGTAGGTCAGGGTCCTTTGCAACGGCTGCGCCTTGACTTGAGCCTTGCCGCTACCAGCCAGCTGCCTGTATGGGCCATCTCTGTGTAGAAGAAAGGAAAGTCAATTGGGCTAGGCTGATGGACTGGGATGGTAGCAGGATTGAGTAAGCCTTGAAAGGAATTTACGATTGAAGAGGGAGAGATCGACAGAAGTGGACAGAAAGACCGAGAAGGAGAGATAGGGCAGTGGAATAAGGAAAATAACGAGAGAGAGAGAGGGAGAGTCGGAGAGAGAGAGAGAGTGAGAGTCGGAGAGTGAGAGAGAGATCTACAGAAATAGGTAGAAAGTCCATAAAAAAAAGTTAGGGTAGAGAGGAACAGTTCGAAGGGCGAATGAAGACAGAGGAAGGCGGACAGAGAGAGAGAAAGCAAGATGGAAGATGGAAAAGCAGAGGTAGAGGTAAGGGTAGGTCGAGAAAGGAAAGGAGCAACAGAGGTAGAGGCCGACAATACAACAAAAGTCAAGACAAGAGAAGAGAGAAAGAGCCAGCGGAAGTGGAATAGAAGAAGAGAAAAGCTGAAACAACAGAGGAAATAGATACAGACCGAAAGAGTGAGAAGGGAAGAGTAGACACCTAAACAGAGGAAAGGAGTATACAAAGAAATATAGAGAATATTCTAGAAGTCAGAACAGAACTTAGAGTTGGCCTTAACTGTTCTCAGATGTGCTCGAGGAAGGATATAAATGAGTGGGTGGAAATACCTCTAGGAAGTCAATTCACCCGATTCTAGAGCTTCCTCTGAGTATTCCTTAACTTACATGGGCTTGAAGAGCAGCCGCTTGGCCACGGCCGCATCGATGGCGCTGGCATGCAGCAGGCTGTGCTCGGTGAGGGTCTGGGCGCAGGCGCGCTGCTTGGCCAGCAGCTGCTCATCGACGGCGGCCAGCTCGTGCTCGAAGTGGCCAAAGAACTGGATGCAGAGCAGCAGCTGGTTCAGCACAAAGGTGTGCAGCTGGCGCTCCAGCTGATACTGCGTCTTCTGCTCGATGATGCGCTGGTGCTCCTCGCGCTGCTGCTCCAGCGTCCGCGCATAGAGAGCGCTGACGCACTCCGTGGCGGTGCTGCCGTTGCTGCCCCCAAGCAGACGCAGCTGCGGCGCCAAATTGTGGCTGCCCCGAATGCTGCTGCCGCCGCTGTTGCTGTTGCTGCCACGCCGACTCCGCCGCAAACTGTTGCCATTTGCCGTTGCCGTTGACTTGGCCTTTGCCTTGGACTGATGGCGACGCTTGCGCGCATTGCGCTTCTGCAGCTTGGCCAGCTGCTTCTGACGCTTCTCCTCCTGGCGGCGGCGCTGCTGCAGTCGTTGCGGCGCCTCGGCCGCCTGCAGCTGCTGCAGCGGATTGGGCAGCGTTTCGCTGTCCCGCGTCTTGGACCAGTTGCAGCCCATGAATCGTGTCGGAATGGAGGAGAGAGAGAGAGTTCTTCAAGCAGCGCTACGATTGCAACTGTCTGTTCAACTGTTCTTCCTAGCTGATATCGATCTAAACTGATCAAATTCCATTTTCCTGCCAATGCCAGTGTCGTCGTTGTCGTTGTCGTTGTCGTTGTCGATGTGGCTGATAAGATCGTCCGCGACGCATCGAGTCCAATAACAACAATGACACGCATTGCAGTCGGATATTCTCGATAGCTCAATACTCGCTCAAAAGAGACGGTTTTTTGTTGTTGTTGTCTTCTCTCTTCTTCTCAAGAGTTGGCTCTCTTTTATCATATCTCTTTTACTCTCTTTTCTCTTATGCCTCACGTTTATTATTCCGAGTAATGAACGTCTCCTTTCTTATTTGGCTCTTCCTTCATCTTACATCTATTACCTCGGTTCTTTCTCTCTCTCTATCTATCTCTATCTATCTCTCTCTCTCTCTCTCTATCTCTCTAACTCCCTCTCTCTCTCTCTCTAACTCCCTCTCTCTCTCTCTCTAACT